TTACTCGAGCTTTGTCATTACAAATTTCTTTTACGTTAATTACGCTTTAAGTATTTGCCCAAATTTTACAATTTATACGCAATCCTAATAAATATTATTAATAAATCAAAATAATTACTCATCAAAATTTAATTATCTTTTGAAATCATTAAATATTTTAATTTGAATGACCCATCCCAAATGAACTAATGATAAAAATTCATATAATAAAATTTATCAATTATTTTTGACCTAAAGACGTGCGATTGGATTGGTGACCTTACGATAGATGTATACTACTGATAAATTAATTTGCTATATAACATATGACACTTCTGTGAAAATACTTATATTGTGTAACTAAATATTTCCTTAAATAAATACATTTATACTAAAAATTAACTTCCGTATAAAATTATTATTGTGGTACTAAAACTCAACTTTTGTGCAAAAATTACTATAATTTGCGTTATTGTTTGTAACTCAAAAGACATGGGAAAAGCTGCAGAATAGCGAAACAAACTAGGATTTACCTGTTAACAACAAAGGTGTAAATGAGTTAACCGTTCCATGATAAAGGAGTTAACCGTTTCATACATTCAGATGACTCAAAATAGCATATGGTAACGCTTATTTGTGTGTTGATAATATAATTAAGAAAAGGGGTATTTATTTTATTACTTTATTGTATTTGTTTCAGTCTCGTATAATAATTTTTGCAATAAATTTTGTAATTGCTTATGTCTATTTTACGTATATGGTGTTACACATCTAGCTTGACTAATAGAACCATAAAGAGAAAATATTAATATGAGAAATACTGAGCAATCTGAATACTACGCTTTTATTTTTTTAAAACTATTTATGCTTTCGAATTCTACATCCTATAACAAGCTCATGAACTCAAGTTCATGAACTCAATTTTTGAGTTATTCCGCTCGTGGTTATTTATTTATTAATTTCATACTTATTTGAAAATTTATTTTAAATTTTAAAAATACGCTTCCGAAAAAATCAGTTCAGCGTTGAAGAATAATATGAGCTCTTTGAACTACTTAAAAATTTAAATTTGCATCAAAATGTCACTTTTTTTCGTTCTTAAAAATTTTACGACAAAAAATATGTATTTTTACCACCAAAAAAACTATTTTAGATTGAATAATAAAAATTGCGGGGATGAAAAATGAATATGAATAAAAATTAAACGTGAATCACAACGTTCATATTCGAATATTCTTTAAGTCGTTAGTTGACATGTTTTCAGGAGAAATGTATTTACGTCAAATATTAAAATTTTTCAAAACGATATTTGTATAAATTTTGATATTCATACGAAGTTCCATAATTTTTTGTGTGGATTTCTTTAATCAGTAACCATTTTAATAATTCTAATTGAATTCTTACTGACATATGTCGTGCTTTTTGATCTATTTTTTTAAGATGGCTTTAACTGTGAAAAAAATATGTCGCAGCAATATATAAAACTGTTTCTGTTTCTATCTTCGAACACATTTGGAAGTATCACTAAAATATTCAAGCTTTGAGAATCGTTCTTTAGTTTGTTTATTCAACGTTTCGTTTTGTTTCTTTAAATAGAGTAAAAATTCGTTTCTAAAATTGTGTGGCAATTGTTACTGTGTTTTAGGAAAAACAATTTTGTAACTTAGTTTTAAATGTAAACGCAGTAAGCTTCCTTGAAATGTCATTTTCTTTGAAAGTTCTCCTAAAACATTTAAGAAACACTCTCTTAAAATAATTCCATAATATTTTCTTAAAATATTAAAAAAAAATAGTAAAACATTCGAAAAACTTATTTTAAAGCGACAGTGACGCAACATATTTATATCTATTGATACCATAAAATGTTAACAGTTATAAATTATCTTGTATCTTGATCTTCTAGCTATTTCTCATGTTTTTAAATTATTATTTCTTTATTATTCATTTTGGTTTGGTAGTTTTTTTGGCTAACCTATAGTATAGTAACCTATAGTTTTGTAAAAGTATACGGGATGAGTAAAAATTACGTAATGCTTGAAGAACATAAAAAAGAAGAAAAATAGGAAACGAATATTGATTTTCTGGCATCTTTTAATTTTTTACTCCTGATCAATTTAAGTGAAATCTGGATATTAATTTATTCTATTTTTTTAAAACTAATGGGGTGAAATAATGCCAAAAGGAAATAATCATTTTTAATTAATATTTTTGTCTTTAAAACCATTAAAAAGAAATATTTTTTCCATAAAAATCTCAGCTTTTTATTTTAAGTGTGTACTCCATTTTGTAATTTTCATACAAAAACGGAGGCATTTTTAACTCTGGAACCAATCTGTGCATTTTTAATACAATTCACTATCATATTATTTTATCATATCCATATTTAACGCCACTTCAACACTGGAATCAGGAGGCGTAATTTTTTTTTATTCCATTAAAGCAATGGAACAATTGCACCCATATTTTTTTTTTATCCATGAATATAACTTGACGTAACTTTTATTTATCCAATACACTTTACATATAAAGTGGAAAGAAGGGATAGGATAAATAGTTGGAATAATTCTGTTATTTTCAAGACGAAAAATTTCAGAAAATGATTTTGCACTTTCATGTGAAGGGAAACACAAAACTACTAACATATCAATTATTACTAAACTACATAAATTTTGCGAAGTAATTTATTTTTAACAAATTTCGTATTGCTTGGCTTTAATTTATTAATTTTAATTCGATGTCATACAGTTAATAGTTAGGTAATATTTATCTAATGACCTCTGCATATTTATTTATTTTTAAAAGAGCAGCTGTAAACTTTTCAAATAGCTAAAATCAGGTAAATAAAATCTAAATTCCACTTAATTAATATCCTTTTTAACTAAATAAATATTAAAAATATATTTCTAAAGTTGTTGTTTATTTTTTAAATAGATTTTACATAGTTGGAATCACGAATGCTAAGTCTCTTCCACAGGGGAAAATCAGCCCAGAAGAAATATGTTTCTTTCAACCAAGGGGAAAAAGTGAAGAAAAAAAAACTTTTGTTTCAATAAGAAATATCAAATATTTTTAAGCGGAATGTAGTTTAAATAATAACATCTAGCCTTTATCAATCTAGCCTAAATAATCGCATTGATTCGCAAACTTTTTAATTTAGCATTTTTAAACTTGTGAAAATTAAAAAGCAACAATCGGGAAGAAATATTTAATGGATTTTTTAATAAATTAAAACTACTAGTCTTTCAATATTTCACGTAAATAAGCATATTAAAAATTTGTTTAATACAAAGAGCCATTACATTATGACCACCCTCCATCTATAACAATGGGCTCGCCCAGGTTTTCATGGTTTCTCGCCCAGGAACAATGTTTTCATGAGGCACATTAGGACCCATAATCCTCATAGAACAATCCCTGACGTCTGTAAGCTACTTGAACGCAGTTGCAGACCAGGTTCACCCATTCATGGCAACAGCTTTTCCTGCGGGAGGTGGTGTTTACCAACAGGATAATGCACCATGTCATAAGGGTCGAATCGTCGAGGAACACTCCAGTGACTTTCAAGTCATGTCTTGGCCCCCAAATTCGCCTGACCTTAATCCAATAGAGCATTTGTGGTCCTACTTGGAAAACCAAATTCGTGTTGCCACGCTACCCCCTCGCAATGTGAGAAAATTGCAGGACCAGTTGGTGAGCGCTTGGTACCAGATACCTCAGACTGCCTATCAGCACCGGGTGGAATCAATGCCACGGTGGGTCCTAGCAGTTTTGAGGGCTAAAGATGGTCCTACATGTTATTAGCAGGGTGGTCATAGTGTAATGGCTCTTCGGTGTAAATATATAAGGAACTGTTGTAATATCCTAATCAAAATTTGCATATGCTATTAAAATTACAAATCACATACTAAACACTTACACTACTACAAATGTTGTCTTTGTTGTTGTCGTACGCCGTTAAGGGAAGGAGTGCGATTGTTCTTGTTTTCCAGTGTCGCCAAGAATTCGACTTCTGATCTAACCATACGTCACACCCGTTTATAGTGTGGACCCATTCATATGTTATTTATTCATCCACAGATGGTAATTTTGACCTGAACCAGAGAACGATCAATCTCCAATTCAGTAACCTCAGAGGTATAATTTGTTACGGGAACATGGAGGAGTTTGCGATTCGGCAGATTTACCAGGCTTCTAGGCATCTTCGGCTGGATAATCAAATGCTAGTACGAATATCAAATCTAATCTTAAATAGTATGATATATAGATTTTAAACCGTCTACGCTAAAGTGTAATAAATAATAAGAAAATAGTTATCTTTTTAAGAGAATTACTGTGATAAACTTTTAACATTCTGCTACTGTGTTAAATTGAATTTGCTCACGTCTTAGCTGTTCTTATAAAACTTATTTCTAAATTATATTGGTCGTTTTTCATTTTGTTAAGTTTCTTCCATTGTCATAAAAGGAATGCGTTTCTTTCACACAGAATGTCAGTCCTGGTTGGAATGTAGTTCAAATGTCAGTTATTAGTTAATATATATGTGGTCGAACAATAATTAAAACATATTTCGTTACGCATATTAATTCACGAATCTACCTATTATCTTTTTTTCATTTAAAGTTTGTTCCATTTTTATTTTACTCTCTTTTCATAAGAAATAATGGCTTTAATAATAAAATGTACGTCTTTCCCACACTAGCCTCACATTAATTCGGTGGCTTGTGTAGACAAATTCAATCTTCAATATTTTTTAAATAAAAAAGAATATTGAAATTGAAAAATATACATTCAAATTAGCTTTTGTGAAGCTTAAAAATAAAGATAGATGCTCAAATTTAATAAAAATTTTAATGGTTTCTTAGTTTTATAAAAATGCTATCACATAGCATTAGTTTTTAATTTTCTTTAATTTTATCTTATAATGAGTATTTCTTCTTTCTGAATAATTTTTCTTAGAAATTTTATTTACTCATAATCTTGAAATATTGTATGTTGTATAATCTTGAATCTCTTTTTAATAGGTAAACCACTTCCTGGAATTTGGCATACTGGATTAGTAGCTTATGGAAGAGAATACTATTTCTGCTCAACTGGCATAGAAAGCTGTAGGCCGGTAATATTTTTTAAAGTAATAGATAATATCGGATATTTGTTATGTATAATAAAATTTTTGAAAGAGCCTGAGTTATTTTTTTTTCCTGAAAAGAAAAATAAATAAATGACATAAAATTTCGTACAATTTTGAAACAGGATTTTTCTCTCGTCTTCGAATAGCTAGGAGGTTTTTATTATTTTTTTTTCAACGAAAAAGATATTAAATGTAATTTTTTAATAAATTAGATTCTTTTTAGCTTATTTTTTGGGTGCTACATATAGATATTAAATTATATATATCAATATATAGCTCAAAATACGTCAAATTTAAATTATTAAGGGAACACAGCAGTGATTACCTAAAATTAAAATAAAAAATCTGCACTTATGATAATTATAAACAAAAATTATTTAAGTGTTTCTTTCTTTTTTCATTTTTGTTCCTCCTACCTCGCACATGTATTCATTAAATCTAGGAAAGTTGAAAATGAAATACAAACTGTGCAAACTACGATTTGCTGTTGTTGTTTCTAATGTCACTTGCTATACCATGAAGCTTGCTTGGTGAAACCATGCAAAATCATGGCAAAGGGTGCGTTTCTTGTTTTGTGGCACCACATATGGCCGAGAACACGACTTCAGCCACACACACAGGTCACAGCCCGTTTTCAAGGGGGAGCCGGAATCACGTTTCGTAATTTGGATCTGAATCAGAAAACGATCAATCTCCAATTCAGTAGCCCCAGAGGTAGTGATTTGTTATGGGAACTTGGAGGACTTTGTGAACCAACAAATATAACGTGCACCATTCGCATAGTGCATGGGAAATCTTCGGCCAGCGGGGATCGAACTTGTGACCTCTTGAATGTGGGCCCAATGCCCTGCCAACCAGGCTATCCCGACTCAACTATGATTTACAATAGATTTAATTCTAACATTCAACTATGAATATTTTACCAAAGTTACCAATGTATAACTACAACATTGAGAAAAACAATAGTTATATCAGTGTTGTTTGACTTTTAAACGCAAGCGTATTATAAAGCAAATTGCTAATTTCAATTAACTCAGTTACAATATTTAAGTAACTGCAGTTGCTAAAAGATGTAATTCAAAGAAAGCAATTTTATCTTCGAATAAAGTTAAAATTAATCTGATAAATTGTCGAATAAAGAATAATTTGTTTTTGTACGGTTTAGGTCAGCCAGAATTCAATTACTGAATTATAAGAGGAATATAGGCAGCAACCATACATAGTGAATTAAAAAAATATTCTGCAAAAACTTTAAAATTACTATTTTTTCAGTAATTGCTTCAGATGAAAGTTCTTCATTATGAACTATAATTATTTTATATTTTTAATCAGTGTTTTCATTTCTTTAAAAAATTTGCATCGTGCTTGCTCAAGTTTATAACTAGATTTTTTTTTTCTTCAGGGAGAAACTATTTTAGGAGAGCCAGATCAAATATTAACATTAGGGAAAACTGAGCTGCCTTATAGTGTATTTCTAGAATACATCTTTGCACTTGGAGAAAGTACATACAGGTACGAATTTATTTGTTGAGAATTAATAAATTTGTTTTTACGAATTCTTCATAATTATATTTTATCAGCTTCCATTTTATAATTCAAATATTTCGTTCAAATAAAAAAAAAAATAAGACAGTAAACAGAATGTTTGATGCTCCTCTAGGCCCGGATCCTATCACTTGTTGGAGCATAATTGCAACACCTTCAGCCAGGAAGTTTGTCAATTTGTGATTGGCTGTTCCATTCCATCCGAAATAAGAGAACTGCCGCAAGAAATTTCTCAAAATAAGTAAGTACTTATTCAAATCGAATCAGTAATACTTGAGAGCAAATTCAAAATAAGTATTCGTTAAAAACTCTAACAAATGATCTGCACAAGTTTACAAAATATTTTCTATAATAGTGTTGTCACTATCCCGTTTCAGACGGAGACGTAAAGAAATGTCAAACTATTATTAAAACGAGTGATGCTTAATTGTGATAAAAGGCACTATTTTTATAGGTAATTTTCCTATCTATATATATATATTTCTCTTACACGGCGACAAAAAAAAGCCTCATTACAACTCCCCGAATGGCAACGCTAGAAAATCGACCAATGATTGCCGCTAAAAATGTCACATGCCAAATTTAGCTGAGATGGCTCAACATATAGCGCTTTTAAAAACGGAAACTGAGATAAACAGAGAGAGCATAAGCTAGGCAGAAGTGAGTAGCCTATGTCATTAGATCTCCATTTTAGTATTTTGTCGAAAGCGCTTTTTTCACGAATTTATATATTACGAATTTATTTGACGATTTTTGATTTATATCACGAATTTATTTGTTTTACTAGAATTTATTTGTTTATGCAGGTTTTTCCATTGCAATTCACTTATTTCAATTTTTAATAGACTTAATTATAGCCAAAATTTTAACCTTTTTAAAGAGATATCAGTTTCAGAAATTTTATCTTAAGATTTTATACTGTAGCACATTTCGAATAGGTTTAACGAATTACATGTCATTTATTTGAATTCAAATTTATTTTTATGACTTAGAATTTACTAAAAAGATGCATTTTTTTTTTAAAAATAAAAGTTGTTACATGGATTGGAATGATTGTTTTGAATTCTTAGAATTTTGTGCATTTGCAATGTACCTAGTTAGTAGCGGGCGAAGCGAGCTTGGTTTTCGAAGCAAACTATATAAGATTGCGTAACAATTTTCGAGGGTTGGCGAGCGTTAGCGAGCAGGGAGCGCAGCTCACTAGTAAATATAATTATCATTCTGCGAGTAATTATTGTCATTAATAATAGTTTGGCAATTTTTGCGGTCTCTAATAATCAAGTCGTATCTTGATGTTTTTAGCTAAGGCAAACAGACGATCGATCCACTTAGTTGAAGCGTGGATTTTTTTTTCGCTTAATTTTCTATCCTTATTATTTTAAACGCAACACAGAAGACAAAAGGTGTACTGGGTAATATATCAGAACCAACTCTTCTTCGTAATAAACGTTTTGATTTAAGCAAATCATACAGACTAGACTTACAAGAAAGGAAAATCTTACAGTTGCATTGAAACCTAATACTGTATACTCTCAAAAATAATCGGTCACAAATTGAACCGAGATAATAATTGTTGAACGACAATACAGTTCAATTTTTATATTATACATTCAAGTTAAATAAATTATTGAGCTGATGCATGCTTCCATTAAAGTTGAGAGTAAGTTTAATCACAATATCAAATCATGAAATTAAGTTACTAATAGTTAATAAATATGGCAACATGGTTCACCTTAAGACCATATTAAGGATGAAGCAATTTTAAGCGATAACATGTTTCAACACGTTTCAAAATTTATAATATTATAGGGATGTTCATTGCTATTGTTGATTTGATAGCAAATTTACTAAAGTTTTATACAGTTCATGAATTTACGCTGATAATATAAGATTATTGTATATGTTACCGGCAAAGTATGAAATTCGGCATTATATTTAATGCCTAGGCATTATATATAAAGCTTATATATAATAGTTTCAGGCATTATACATAATGCCTAAAACTAGTCGGCAAAGTATGAAATGATTTATATTTCACAAATGTCCTAGGCATTATATATAATGCCGGATGCTATTTAGGCAAAGTATGAAATAAACGTCCTGATGAGGTTATTATGTAAACGATGTGAATGTTTCTGTGAATGACCGAAATCGGTGGTTGTTGACTTTCACCGATGAATGTTGACAATCACATAGTCGCTTTGGTGAATGTCCGAAATATTTACTACATCCGATTTGATATTAATTTATTCGTGGATATAATTACATTTATTCGATATTTTAATACTTACTGACGGTAGATTAGAAGAAACATCAGTGTTTGGAGTATCAGGCAAATATATACCGGGCAATGATACTTGACCTGAAAAAATATCAGTGTAGGATATACCGGGCAAATGTATACCGGGCAATGGCACTTGACCTTAAAAAAACATCAGTGCAGGGTATACCGGGCAAATGTATACCAGGCAGTAGCATTGAACCTTAAAAAAACATCAGTGTAAGATATACCGGGCAAATGTATACCGGGCAGTGGCACTTAACCAGACCTAGTATGACTAGATCTTTGGTAAATGTCTGAAATATATACTAGGTCTAATTAAGTGCCACTGCCCGGTATACATTTTCCTGGTATATCCTACACTGATGTTTTTTTAAGGTCAAGTGCCGTTGCCCGGTATATCCTACACTGATGCTTTTTAAGGTCAAGTGCCAATGTCCGGTATACATTTGCCCGGTATACTCTACACTGATGATTTTTTAAGGTTTAGTGCCACTGCCTGGTATGCATTTGCCCGGTATATCCTACACTAAGGTTTTTTTTAAGGTTCAGTGCCATTGCCCGGTATACCCTACACTGATGTTTTTTAAGGCCAAGTTCCACTGTCAATAAACAAATATAATGTTAATAAGCGGTAAAACAAATGAAAAGATTACGTATTATAAGTTTACTTTTATTAGGAAACAATTAAAATTATTAAGTTAATTAATCGAAATTGTTGAGTTATTTACTTTTTTTCAATTTTTTCTAAAGAAATGTTAAGCTCATTTTTTCGGGAGAATAAGAAGCAATTATAGCTTTGATAAAGGGAATAAAATCTTTCACGAAGTTAATGCTTTATTTTATTTTTATTACTTATTTATTCATATTAATAATTTTTATTTTTAATATCCAACTACGATGTGAATTTAAAAAGGCTAAATTGGAAATTTCTAGATTTCAAACCTTTAATAAAAATTTGAGATAAAGAAAAGCAAATTACTGTAAGCAGTTACACTTTTTTTTAAATTTAATTTCTTAGCATTTCGGATTTTCTTGTTTAATTATTTTAAGCAAACGCAGATGAAGGTTGAGCATATTTAAATTGTAATTTTATATTGTCTTGAATTTCGTTCTTTAAAAAACAGTTGCTCAAACAAAAAGTTAATTGAAAAGCAATATCATTGTCAATTACATTTAAAATAACAATAAATACTCTATATAAAACCCTTTTGCGCTAATTTTTTTTGAATAAATTTTATCCTTGATGAAAATAGTGTTAATGATTAGGCTTATAATTTTGAAAAAGTAACACATAAAATATAAATTTTAAAGATTTAATCATATTAAATTTATTCTAAATTAGCCTTAAACTTTAAATTTCATTGATATTTTTTCAAAAAGTTGCTATAAATAAAAATGTGGATACTCAAATAATTTCTATACATTTTGATTTTAAAAGACGGTTATTTCATGAATAATTTAAAAATTAAAGTAAGTGTTCCATAAAAACTATTTTTGCGGTAATTTATATAAATAGTTTTACATTTAAGAGAAAAATTTTAGCGACTTTATTTGAAAAAATTGAATAATGTCGAACCTAAAAATAAATTTCGATATTTAGCTTAGAACTATTAATTTTTAACAAAGTTAAAAATAAATTTTTTTAACTTTGAAATGAATTTAAAATAAGAGATAATGCATATACTTTTCTTCCTTAATGCATTTATACATATTATATATTTTTGGCATACATGTAATATAATTCATTAATATAATAACGTAATATAATTCATTTTTCTAACCATTTTTTCAAAATATTCTTCTATAAATCTAATATATGGTCCTAATTAAACATTTTTTTTATTCATTTCAACTTAAAAACACTATTATTGAGACTAAAGCAAATAAAATAATCACAATATTATTTTTTAAATTAATTTAATTTTAATGGTAGACACGTTTGAAGGAAATATTTTTAATGATTAGAGTCAAGATTTAAAATAACAAAAAAGAAAAACGTAAAAAAACCTTATGAAAACTGAATTTTTTATTTAGTTTTTTTCAAAAGGTAAATAATAGTATGGCTATTCAAGTGAAAGTTTTACATTTTGTTTGAAAAAGAATGTAGTTAAATAATTATTAAAAAAACAATAAGTATTTAGTGAAAAATATTTTTTTTATCCTTTTATTATAAAAAGATTTCATATTTGAGAGAAATAGTTTTAATAATTACAGGGGATTTAAAATGGCAAAATAAAGCAAAATCCAAATCATTGTTTCCTTAAAATTACGATGGAAATATTTTTGTGTTTAGAGAGTTTATCAATATTTTTTTCCGTTTGAGATTGAAACTAGTTCTAGTTGGAATATTATTTGTTGGATTCAATATCTTCATTGTAAACCTAATTGGATCTGTGCAGTACAACCATAACATATAACTTTTCTTCCTTCTTTTCGATTCACCTCGCTTGTCAATAATTTATTAATTTTAGTCATCAAATGATTTTATAATCATTTGGTAGTGATAATAATCAATAACTCTCATGACCGCACTAAAACCAAGAACATTAAGCAGTTTCGAAGTCATAGTTTAAGTTAAATTAAGATGCAAAAATCAGAAAGTATTATTTAGGGATAATTTTTTTTAATTAGAATGATTAATTTTGATTATATACTTTAAAATAAATATATAGCACGAAAAATAAAAAAAATGGACCACCCTGGATAACTTTTGGTCTAATGATTGGAGTTTCACTTTCTAGAACTCAATTTTAACGGTTTGAAGACTTCAAATATACTAATTAAATAGTGCAAACAATAATTAGTTTAAGAATTAGTACAGATTATACAAATTACATGTATACAGATGTAATACAGATTACAGCTCCCCTCCTCCCCATATTTTAAGGGTCGGAAATCGGAATCCGTTGAAAAAAGGCATATCATTCAGAGAAAGTATGTTTTTATGTCAGATATTG